GACAGACAGCCTCTTCTTCTCCCCCCTCGCCAAATAGGTCTTCCTAAAGGAACTTAATTTCAAGTGAAAATCATGTTGCCAGCAGGGTCCTGTCTGCACTCTTAGGAAGGCAGAGGGGATCCTGGCGAGCTCATTTCCCACCCACCTGGCCAGCCCACCCCCTCTGCTTCATCCGCATCGGAACCTCCCCTCTGGGGCCACTCTCTGATGGGGTACTCTCCACCTGCAGTGCCCCCTCGGCAAGGTAGAGCCCCACAGTGTCAGCCTTGCACGGGGCACTCACACAGGTTTGCCCTCTCCAATGCTGACAATTGTATACTCTTAATACAGATCTTAAAAAGTTTCACTTTTACAAACGTTTCAACTTAAATTTTATAAATCCGTGTTGCATAAAAAATAAAAGGAATGAAACATGAGAAATAAATTCAATTAGCTGATTAGGATACATTCTTTCAATAAAATTCTTGACTTTTCCCCTTAATACTTCCGTTCTTAAAAGGGCTACATACTTTATATGCCCCCTTACCAAACTCATTGCCATTGAGTTGATGCTGGCTCATAGTGACCCCGTAGGACAGGGTAGACTGCCTTTGTGGGTGTCCAAGACCAGTACTCTGTAAGGGAGTAGAAAGCCCATCCTTCTTGTTGGTTTCGAATTGCTGACCTCACAGGTTAGCAGCCCAATGGCTAACCACCATGCCACCGGGGCGCTATACCTGATATTAGGTGCTGTTAAGGAATTGTTGATTTTTTTTCCTTTTCTTATCATTTTATTAGGGGCTCATACAACTCTTATCACAATCCACACACATCAGTTGTGCAAAGCGCATCCGTATATTCATTGCCCTCATCATTCTCAAAACATTCCCTCTCCACTCAAGGCCCCCCCCCCCCCACCCCCGCCCCGGCACCAGGTCCCCACCCTTCCCCTCCCTCCCCGCTCCCGCCTCCCTCGAGCGCTTGATAATCTATAAATTACCATCCTGTCATATCTTGCCCTGTCCATGTCTCCTTTCACCCACCGCTCTACTGTCTGTCCCCCAGGGAGGAGGTCACACATAATTCCCTGTAATCGGCTCCCTCCCTCCAACCCACTCTCCCTCCACCCTCCCCGTATCGCCACTCACACCACTGGTCCTGTAGGGATCATCCGCCCTGGATTCCCTGTGTTTCCAGTTCCTGTCTGTACCAGTGTACATCCTCTGGTCTAGCCAGACTTTCAAGATAGAATTCGTGTCATGGTAGTGGGAGCGGGGAGGAAACATTTAGGAACTAGGGGAAAGTTGTATTTTTCATTGTTGCCACATCGCACCCTGACTGGCTCGTCTCCTCCCCGAGACCCCTCTGCAAGGGGGTCTCTGGAATTGTTGATTTTCATGGAGAGTGTGGCATTCGGATTGGAGGATGGCTGGTTAGCGGCCTGTGATGTGCAGATGGCACCACCTTGCTGGCTGAAAGCGAGGAGGGCTTGAAGCCCCTGCTGATGAGGATCAGTGCTGTAGCCCGCAGCGTGGATGCCGACTCCGCGCAGACAAGACCCAACCCTCACAGCTGGACACGCAACGTGACTTCACGATGAACGGAGGAAGGTTGAAGCGTTTCAACGATTTTGTCTTGCTTGGATCCACAATCAATGCTCATGGACGGGCCAATCAAGAGATCTGAAGATGAGATGCAGTAGGTAAATCTGCCGCCCAAGACCTTTTTAGAGCGTCAAAAAGCAAGAAGATTACTTTGAGGACTAAGGTGCACCTGGCCCAAGGCATGGCACTTTCACGGCCCCACATGCATGTGAAGTTGGACATTGAGTGAGGAAGACTGACGAAGAATGTGTGCGTTTGAATTGTGGTGCTGGAAAGAGTAGGGAAGCAACCATGGACTGCTAACAGGACAGACTGCTGTCTCGGAGGAAGGATGGTCAGAGTGCTCCTTAAAGGAAAGGATGGTGAGATTCCATCTAACATGCATTGGACATATTGTCAGGGGAGACCAGTCCTGGAGAAGGACATCATGCTGGGTACAGTGTAGGGGCACCGAAAGAGGACTGCCCTCAATGGAATGGACGCACACAGTGGCCGCAACAGTGCACTCGGGCACAGGAGCAATGGGGAGGGCGGTGCAGGACAAATGGGCCCTATGGTCGGCACTGGCTCCACTGTTGCCGAGCCACAGCAGCAGCAACTGTGCCAGCACGGTCACCTAGGGCAGCGTCTTGCTTTGGAGCGGTGCAAACCGGCAGAGCTTCACAGGTGGTACCCTGACGTCACCACTGTTTTCAAATGGTTCTTAGAACATACACAGATGTGTGCATATGTACAGAGATGGGTAAAGCACAGCAGGACGATTCTGATAATTGCAGATTTTAGTGGCGGTCACTTGGGTGTTCGTTGTAGTCGTCTTTGGAAGTCTCCATTCGTTTGAAAATTTCACTAGGAAATTGGGGGAGATAAAAATGGTTGAAGAAAAAGGTTTTACCCCTGTACCTAATGGGTGTATGTCTCTTTCCTCCCTCTTCCTCTCTCTCCCCCTGACGCACACACCCCCCCTTGAGAAGCACACAGACCCACGTGTTGAAGCAGCATTTACATGACCCTTGTTGTCAAGGCTGAGCAAGAACCAAGTGATCGAGGTTCTCATTAGAGGCTTGTTAGGAACAGTACCTGAGTGAAGTTGCACTGCATGTACAATATGTTAACTGTTTTTTTTTTCCTCCCAACAATCTTAATGATTCCACATGAGGGGGCTTCAGGGAATGATGGAATTAAAACATAATGGCATTTCCCCATGAAAGTTTTGAAGCCCCTCTGCCCCTTGTATAAATAACTTGGGCAAGAAGTCTGTGAGGAGCACCTCAATTGTCTTGTCTCAACACACCCCCCCCAACCCCACCGCCACCCTGCACCCCCAGTGGTTGGTTTGGTGTGGCCCTTGGGCATGTGCTGCCCTCTGGTGGGTTCTGTCTGTCCTGGAAGTACCAGGTTTTCTGAAGCCTTCTCCCCAGGTTCCCCTGACAGATCAGCCCCCCTTGGCCCTGAGCGACAGACACTCACAGCTACAGCGTTCCACACGGTTTTACTCACCAACACTCACTGCAGCTCTGGTGGCTCCATGTTTCCCATTTCTACCAGGTGCGCTCCAGGTTAGAGACCCTGCTGTAGCCCTTCCTCAGTGGCTTGCACACACCTGGCCCGTGTAGCCAGGACAGATTACACCTGAACGAGGCACAGACAGTGCTGCAGCACCACCGTTTATGACATGCTGCACCTCGGAAATGCATTGTGATCTCAACACGCAGTGCTTCGTCTCAGCCGTGATTGTGCGTCATCCGGTCCCATCCGCAGCACTAGAATGACGTTCAGACTTGGCGGGTGTCGCCCTGTGGTCCTGTCTTGGGGCGCACCTGGCCCTCCGCAGCACTAGAATGACATTCAGACGTGGCGCACGCTGCCTTTTGACCATGTCTTGCCCACCCCCAGCACTTTGGGCCTTTAGCGCCACATGTGTTAGCAATCTAAGAAGTAACATTTTCCAATTCCCCAGACTTTTATACAGTGCTATAGCTGCGAATATGCAGGGTCTTTTTCTTGGGCTCCTTTCAAAATGACAAGTCAGGGCTTGTATTTCTTTGATTGGGGTGTCTATGTTGATTAATATTTTAGGTTAGTACAGTTTCTTCCTTCAACTTGATTTTTTTAAAAAACCACCCCCAAACCATCACTTTTTCCAGGTGAATTGCATACCTTTAGATCTTCTGCAGATGCATTCGCTTTAATAAAAATCAAATTGGTAGGCATTGCCCCAGCCGTTTGCTTTGCTGCTCCTAGTTGAAATTACAGAGGGGCCGTGGCAGTCTGGTTGTTACGTGGGTGCGGGGTGGGGCAGCTCCACTTCCTGGGCGCTGGTGTGTCAGATGCGAGCCTGCGATTAGCTGCAGGTGTACAAGCCTCAGACTGAGCCTCACAACCAGATCCAGTTGCTCTACTGGCATCTCCCTATTGTCATTACTCTGACAGGAGCATTGGCGATGGCTGTTTCTGGGTGCGGAGAGGTGGAGAGGATTGACCAGGTTTAGGCCGTGCCTACCATCCGACCCCGTCCTGCCCTCCTGCTTGGCGTTGGAGACTCTGGACATACTGAAGCCTTTGGGCAAATCATCCTCTAGAATTTCACTGAACGGATTTTTGGCTGAGTTCAGTTTAGGAAGTTTGAATTATTTAGTCATTCTAGAATTTTTCTATTAGTGTAAAGGCACAGGAAAGATATTTGCGAAGCTCATGACTCCAAAATATGATTTGCAGGTCATATTAACACATGGAATGTAATTGAGTTTCCCTTATAGAATTTTTGTGTGTTTAAAAAAATCATTTTATTGGGGGCTTGTACAACTCTTATCATAATCCACATAGCCATTGAATCAGGCATGCTTGTACATATGCTGCCCTCATTCTTTTCTAGACATTTACTTTCTATTGAGCCTTTGGCATCAGCTCCTCTTTCCTCCCTGCGCTCCCAATCCTCATACACCCCTGGTAGATTGTACATTGTCATTATTTCCACCTCTCACACCTCGCTGTCTCCCTTCCTCAAGAATCATTAAGCCATTTTCTTGAATCTGTTACATTTTGGTCACAATGGGGCCCCGGGCAACTGACATTCAAGAAATTTTTGATCTTGGTTTCAGAAACAAGTGGGTTTTTTTTTTTTTTAGAATTATGGCAAGAAATTGAAAGTTACTGTGGTTTTCCAGGAGGAGGAGGGTGGAAGGGGCCTCTCCCTGCCCTCCCGTGTGCTGCCTCGGAGGGTGCAGAGCCTGCTCAGGAAAATGAGATGCTTTTTAACAGGAAGCACTTGTCCTTCCATAAAAAAGCAATAATAAAAATAAAATAAGTTTTATTGGCATAATCCACATCCCGTGCCCTTTATTAGTTTAAACAGGTTAAGTGCAATCATCAGCAACATTGTAGAACATTTGCTACTTTTTTTGTCCTCATTGTTTTCAGCTCCCCACTTCCAGCCTCCCCCACCACACACGCCAGAACTGCGAATCCTGTCACTGCCTCTCTACCTGCCCTGGATTTCATATAAAGAACCACACGCGCAAACACCTGCAACAGAGAAGCCAACAACAAAGTAGAAAAAGCTCCGTTGACAAGATAACAGCAAGTAATGAAGACCAGATGCCTTTAGGGTGGGTCAGTGGGCGCAGGTGGGGTGGGGTGTGTGGTGTGCTCACCTGACCATGTCTACTGGCCCCTTCCAGCGCACCCTGGTAGCGAGGCAGTGCTTGTGCGTCAAGATTGCGCTTGAGCGTAGAATTTTGATCGTGGTTCACTGGCCAGCAGGGGTTCACCGAGGCTCCATCCATGTGGGGACCCTGCAGAGGGCTTTGGGTTTCCACTGCCATCCTTAGCCGTCTGCAAACTGAAAGCACGTTTCCTCTTACGGCTTCACTTTATTGTCAGAGATTTAAGTGTTCCCTTTTATTTTATGAACATACTTATAGCGTTTTCAGTGGAAGTTGATGCACGAAATTAAGTTCTCTGCAATTCCCATGTGAACTATTCAGTGACACTGGTTAAAATGTTCACCTTGTGTCCGCGTTCTCATGGTTTTCATTCGCGTGGTCCTGTTTCCATTAATCTAGTGTCCCCGGTCTTCCCCCTTTCTCATCTCTACTTTAGGGCATTGTTTCCAAGGTGGGCAGTAACTACCCCTGGGGTGGGGGTGTCAGTGGAACCTTGAAGGGGCAGGGGAGCTGTCAGAGCAGATGCCTGCACTGTATCCTGGATTATGGGCTGTTGTACTGATTGGTTTTCATTGCCAGGGGTGTGCTGAGTCGTTTTTTTCTAAGGGGGTAGCAGGCCAAAGACGTTTGGGGCCCTCTACTTAGGGTTGACCGTTTAGTCTCACATAGACTTCCGCAGCCTTTTCCACGAGCCCGGTCCTCACAAGTGCTGTTGTCACGAGCCAATCTGTTAGGTAGCTGAAAGTTGATTTCAGGAGTAGTTTCCGTTCTGAGTGGTGTCTTAGTGCAGCCGTCTTGAGGGGGTGGTTTCCTCTACTCTCAGCTGTTGCAAACAGCCTGGCCTTTTCTCAGATTTTGAGCTTTGTTCTACGTTTTTCTGCCCTTCTATCCAAGACCATCTGTTGTCGGTGGTGGTAGTGGGGCACCTGCACCACCTAGCTCTTGTCTCAGGTAGATGAGATGAAGCCATGGTTTGTGGAGACTCTTGGTCCTGTAGACTAGTTTCTTCTGGACTTTAATTTCTCTCTTTATCTTCTGCTCTGGACAAATAAACACCAATCTTCGAATCTTAGACACTTAACAAGCTTTACAGACCCTAGAAGCTCCTCAGCACACGAAGTTGTAGAACCTAAGCTTTACGGACTGTAGCCTGAGTTGTCGGAATGAGTTGTCTCTTTCAAAGCAAAAAAACACATCCCGGGAGGTGTTTGATCATGCCTAAAAGTATACCCGTAACTCTGTCCTTTGTGATAGACAGTGTATAAATAGACTCCCAATTGATGTATGTATGGATTGTGATGAGTTGTATGAGCCCACAAAATGACCAGAAAAAAATAGACTGTGTGTACTGTGAAGAAGGTAAGTATTCAGAAGCAAACATGTCACTCTGAGGACTAAAGTGTGTCTGATCCAAGCCATGGTCTTTTCTGTCGTCTCATGTGCATAAGAGAATTAAGACAATGAGCAAGGAAGACTAGAAAAGACTTGATGCCTTCGAAGCATGGTCTTGGAGAGAATGTCGAGTCTGCCTGGGCTGCTAGAAGAATGAACAAACCTGCCTCTGATCTGTGGGTGAAGAAATTCAGTCAGGTAGACACTCACTCGTCAGAGGTGAGGATGGTGAAGCTTTGTGTCCCGTGCTATGGACAGACTGTATCGGAGGGACTCGTCCCAGGAGAAGGACATCATGCCTGGTAAAGCAGAGGGCTGTTGAGAAAGAGGACTGCCCACCAGGTGGACTGATGCAGGACTGTAGCATGGGGTCCGCACATACAAACTCACGGCGGTGCAGGAAGGGGCTGTGCTCTGTTCTGTCGTACACAGGTTTGCCATGAGTCAGGACTGGCTCCGTGGCCCTTACCAACAGCACATACAGATACATACACGTGTGCCCCTCATGCATGCATCCACGTGCAGACACCTGTACGTACCTGCATACTCACACATGCCTACATACATGCATAGATATGCGTTTGTGTGTGTGTATATACGCACCCACACATTTATTTTTTGGTTGTTGCAAAAGTGTGTGTTATAACATTTTACCCAAACCATCCCTTATTTCTGTATAATCCTTCATGCCACCATGCACCTCGATCAAGTTGCGCACCCCTGAACCACATCCGTCACCAGGAACAAATGCCTGCAGTCTAGACAGGGTTCCCCACGGCCCCAGCCTTCCCACCTCTCTAACCACCAGTGAAGGGTGATTTCTGTCAGGTCCCTGCTCCCGACCTTTTATAAAGGTGGGCTCATAGAGGACCTGTCCTTTTGTGATTGACTGATTCCCACTTAGCATCATGTCCTCCAAATTCACCCGTGTAGAAGATGTTTCAAAACCCACCACCATTCTTGCTAGCTGGGTAATACTCCATTGCACATGCGTGCCACGCTTGTCTCTGTCTGCTGACTTCATCTTGCTGCAGCTGTGGACCGTGGAGCAGGGAACACAGGCGTGCACGTGTCTGTTCCTGTCCCTTCTGTCCCGTAGGGCTCTGGCATCATGCTTTAAGCAGGGATACATGGATATGGTAGGCATTTTTCTAACGTTTTCTTCTTCTTGCTGCTGCACCGGTCCTCCATCTCTTCTGGAGGCCAGCATTTTTCCTACTTGGTTTTTTTCCCTTCTAATTTCCCCAGAAAAACCCTTATTTGTAGAAAAGCACATATTCGTGTATTTCCCCACTCGTCACACTTATGTCAACTCAAATGGTAGTGCATTTGTGGGAAATGACATGGCAGATTTCTATAAAGTGGCAGTCAGACCCGTCTCTTCTCTGCATCCTTTTTACTAGTTCCGACACCAGCCAGTCCTCCCATGGGACTGCCCACTTCTCTATTGCACCTGGTAACTCTTTGCCACAGCCACCCGGAACTCACAGAGCATGTCCACGGCTCAGGGATTGATGAGGGCGGTCAGTCACGGGTTACATGGCTGCATCAAGAACCACTGAAGTTAAAGATCTTTGGTCAGAGCAGCCTGTTCTCGGCAGTGCTCGCTTGCTCGCTCAGGCCTGGGCCTGCTTAGCCAAGTGTTACAAAGCCGGTAAGTGTCCAGAGGCACCACACGCCTCCAGGAAGCATCCTGCCTGATGGTGCTCAGCTCCCCGCTCTGTGGACCAGCAAGCCTGCTGTGACCACCTTGTCACACAGTCTGGGAAGCCCATTGTGCCAGTGGACGCTGGTTCCCTGGTTCTGTTGCTGCTGCTGCTCAGCCTCCGCTGCCCACTACCACGCACCTTCTGTGGTGCCTTTCTCTTAGCACCCTGCGTCTAGGAGGTTCTTAGCATGGGGGCTCTGGAGACAGGGAATGGACTCTGTTCCTGGGAGTGAGGTATGTTTGGAGACGGTGATGGAAGCAATTGTACAATTAATGTTTGATATGATTGGACTATGGAATGATATGACATATGTATTAATACCCAAGTTGCAGCAGATTAAAAAAAATAAAAGCATAGATCCAGGAATGAGTTCTGGTCTTCCATTAAATCCTAGCTCCAACGTAGGAACAATTAGTTCTAATGTCATGTCCCTGCGCAATACTCACCTTCCTGAAATGATCACTGAAGATAAGGGTGCTACACCAAAGTGGTGAAGACAGTAGATGGTGCTCGGCTTTGAAGCAAAATAGTGACTGCACCTTAAAGGCTTGTATTCAGACAAGCAGCGAGGAATCAACTCAGTCCACAAAGAAGAAGCACACCAGCTTGTGTGATCCAAAGGTACAATTACAAAACCCAAACATGGTGATGAGAAAACTCTTGGAGCTAAAATGGTGAGTTCTCGATTTGTAGAAGGTTACGGAGGACATGGGAACCCAAAAGCTATCTGCAGTGTCTTGTCAGACCGAGCTGATGCAGACCAGGTCTAGACAAAGGCAGGAGTCTCGAACAGCCGTACTGCCAGGCAGAGACCATGGTAATTCTGCTTATGCTGGACTGAGCTCAGTTCCAGGCCAGTTGACCTCCTTGTAGACACGACCTGAGTTTGTACTGGGTGCAAGCAGCTCATAGGATAGAAGTTTCTCCCCTGGCTTCTTGGATGTTGATGGGGGCGTGGGAGTCTCTTCCCACTGATGTATTCTGTGTGTTTTTGTCTTTATACTAATGGGGTCTTATGTGGGGGAAAGGAGGGCCCCCAACAAATCATCACTGGTCCGGTAGGCGTGATTGTACGGCGATAATAAGTAAAGATTACAGTGAAGTCATGGAGAGTATGAGAGATAGAGGAGAGATTGAAGTCATGGAGTCAGACACATTCATGGTAGCACACTCACCTCAGCCCTGCTTGGTGGTCCTCGTGGGGAGAGGCCCACTTTATTGCTAACCAAGGATTATCATTACTTAGCGGGGCATGATTACAGGTAATCACATGTCACAGGAAGGGGCAGTACTATAGGCATACACATCATAGGAAGGAGATCTATGATAGGCATAAGCATGACAGGAAGGGGATGAGCTAGGGCTGTGCCCATAGGAATGGGAGGGACTAGAGGTATGTATACATGTGACAAGATGGGCAGACCCTAGATTCATGATGGTGGCCTAACCTTGGCCACCCTTGGGTGGGCTTGACCTCTCTGGGGTCTACTACAAGGAAACAGTAAACAATTATCCTTATCAGAAGGGAGTGGGCCCTACTTGTGGGATAAACAGTGGGGACTGCTTGCTCTAGATGGCTGATAACCCTTAGGGAGAATAACCCCTGACCTACTTCTGTTGACCTCCAAGTGGATAGTCATTCACATGCAGCTAAGTTTGGCATATATTTGGGGTAGACAACTTGGGAGAAATCTTTCTGTTCCCCATAGTCTTATTAGTATAAGATCTTACCCCCTTAGTGCGATTTGTTTTCCATTGTTTACTATGGGGTTTCCCAGCTGTGAAGCACAGCAGGAGTGGATGTACAATAATAGTAACGGATACAAGGTGTTCTAGGGGATA